ATGTACCGTGCCAGCACAGCAAAAGGACAATTTGTGAGATGATGAAGATCTACTTAGAAATTGCACATTCTGTGTAGTCATGAGGTCTGAATTGAATCCATCATTATAAAGACAGCTAATAAGTTCTCTACGTGTAAGAGATATGTTATGGTTTGTGTCTAGATGTCCCCACAAAGCCTCATGCAGTCATGGGGCAGGCTTCTAGAGTTTGTGATTGATTCATGGTCCAACACTGGGGTTATGGGGGTGAGTGCTACAGTCACCCTCTGGCAGGCAGCCTGCATACAACATAAGGGAGGGAAAGACACCTGCTCTGCCCCTCCCTTTTGCTCTTGCTGCTTTTGCTGTTTTCTGCTGCCATGAACTTTTGCCCTTTCCCATGTACCATTCTGCCTTGGAGCCAGCCAAGTACAGACTGAAACCTCCACAAACTGTGAGGTAAATAAATCATTCCCTCTTTAACTTTGGACATCAGGTATTTTGTCTCAGCAACGAGAAAGAGGTAACTAAGACAAGATATTTATAGGATTTTAGAGATGTGATCAGCTATTCCACTTATGAAAAAGTCTATGTACTTACTTTTTTATTCATTCATTTGGTCATACTAAAGTGCGCATTTATTGAACATTTTTCATGTGGCAGGGACTGCTGAAGACCCCTTTTGTGTACGTATAAAAGTCACAAGAACCTCTCTCTTAAGTTCATGCTGGAGTTGTTTACTGACACAATTATATGATGTTTCCTCATGTTTTATCTATTTTTCCCCTTTTGGCTTTCTTATTTTATAATTGACAATAAAATTACATGTACATAAACTACAAGGCATTGATTTAATATACATATATACAGTGAAATGCTTACCATAGTCAAGTTAATTAACACATACATTACCTAACATAGTTACAACTTTTTTTGTGTGTAGTAAGAACATTTAAGATCTCCCAAGCAAATTTCAGATATACAATACTGTTAAATACTGTCACCATTCTGTACGGTGACTCTCCAGACATTATTTATCTCTTAACTGAATGTTTATACCCTTTAACTAATGTGTCCTCATTTCTCCCATACCTGAATCTCTCTCAAACCTACTGTTTCTATGAGATTGATTACTTTATATTCTACAGATAACTAGGATCATACAGTACTTTTTCATTATTTTGTTTGGGTTATTTCCCTTAGATTAATGGTGCCCAGGTTCAGCTGTATTAGATATTCTTTCCTATGTTGAAATTATATATATAGTTCTTTTCTTGTATTTCCTGGTATGAGTTATAAAGTCTTCTCTTGTATTATACTTAATGAAATCCTCCCTATTTTTTTTTTTTGTTAGTCTAGGTAGAGTTTTTAAATTATCTTTGCAAACACCAACTAATAATTTTAACTTTCTTTTTTTATTTATTTAGTTCTTTGTTTTTTCTCTGATCTTTATTTCCTTCTACTTTTTGGCCTAGTTTGTGATTTTTAAATTTGTTCTAGTGTAAATTTAGAGTATTTATTTGAGAATTAAGAAAACCTAGGTTTTTCTAGCTCAGAATGTTTTTGGACTGTTTTCTCTGTATTTTTAAGTTTCATTCTACTGTGTTTCTCTTTTTTTTTTTTGGTTTTTTGGTTTTTTTCTGGTGCCAGGAATTGAACTCATGACCTTGTACTTGCCAGGCAGGCTCTGTGCCACTGAGCTAAATCCCCAGCCCCTTGCTGTGTTTCTCTTTTGGTTTGTCTCAAGATATTTTCTTAGTTCCCTTTTGATTTCTTCTACCTATGGGTTGTTCTGGAAAGTTTCCTTTAGTTCCACTTACTTATAAGTGTTCCACTTTCTCCTGTCGACTTCTAGTATTGTGCCATTTTTATCAGAAAAGATACTTGAATGATATTATTCTTCTTGCACGTGTTTAAGTATTATGTTATGGCCTAATATAGGACCTATTCTGAAGAATGTTCCCTGTGTGCATGAGAATGATTTGTGTTCTGTTGCTGTTGAGTGGAATTTACTGAAGATGTGTATTAGGTCAATTTG